CAAGCCGTTTGTAAGGAAGATTAAAACAAGAAAGAATAATGTGTAGTTGGTCAACAATTAAATAATACATGAATAATAGCAGTTATCTTTTTGCGCGCTATATTACCGTCTTAATATTAAGAGAATTTAGCGGTATCCGTCGCATCCATTTTCAAGATTTTAATAAGAGAAATCCGAGAACAAGTTAACTTTCATACTCCGTGACTACCTTTTGACCTGCTTATCCTTCAACTAAGAACAATTCTTCTTAAGACTGTACTATAAGTAGACGCTACCAACTAAGCAACATGTAAGGACTAATCGGTAGCTTAACCCCCATGAATTTTCTCCATCAGTGGCCACCCATTTTTCACCTTATCCATTACCACAGTCCTAACATCCAGAAGGTCTCATCCGGACCATTCACACGCATCTTACCGGTGCTAAGACTATAATTCTAAATGCAAAATATAAGCAGCCATTTCTGATTACTTCCTGACTTGCTTCGGTTCCGCAGCTGACACTTTCTTCAAAAAGCTGCAAGGACCGACTAGTATTCACACCCCTGCAGGTCCTCGTCTTCATTGGCCACTTTGTCAATGTTCAAAAGCTTAACAATTAATTCAGCCTAGCCTACTTACTGATAGGTTCACAACTCCGTAGACCCTCCTCATATAGGACATTTCTGGCCAATAACTAACCCAGCCGAGTAGGCAGACTTCAGTCCTTAAATCTTATCTACCCATTCATTCCTCAGCGTTCTGCTGTATCTTCTATCACTTTCCAAATTCTTAGACCACTGGGTCGGTGAAAAAATATTAGGCTTATGACCTTTGAAGTACGCTTAGCAAAGGCATTCTACCAGACCTAAGTCTTGTATAAGATGTCAGTGTCTATTGTTGCTGTCGATACACATAATGCACCTTAGGTAGTATAGTGGAGAATTAATCTTTATTTATTTATTCATAGACTTGTCCAAAACATCAAATAAATACCAGCTTTAAATGTACTTCCATGAACATTTCCATGAACTTTTGTTGAGGTCAGTTGTTAGTTGGCCTTAACTGATGCGTTTTTATTACTCCTTAGTACTCGCAACTTTACTTCGGCGTTTCCAATTGTAATCGGTTTGTATAACCCAAAATAATATATCTTCCATCTGGTAGATAAATTGACCACTATAAAAGCCACAGGCCTAAGAAGCAGACATTTTGCTCTCCACTTGTCCTCTGTTGGCCCCATATACTCCGTTTTCGCTGTTATACATGCGCCGATCAGTAAGAGAAACACTAGAAGACAGACAGCTTGAAAACAAGATCCTGCGCTTCAACCGCGTTTTCTAGTAAAACATTCGCAGCTCCAGATTCCATTTCACTGGCCGGAAGCTAATCTGCGACAGAGAGGCCCCTGCCACACTTGGTGACTGGACATCCAGAAAATTTTGACCACCATTTCGCCTTATCTCGGCCGTCCGTGCGTAATGTTATCTTTTAGCTAGCTTAAAAGCCTACCATGCGTTATGTAAAATGGTGGGTGTACAACGAACTCCCTCTATTTTATTACCTGCTTTCCTACTCTTGATTTACGTTATCATTATTTGCTTAGGTTGCTACAACAGCTCACACCAGAAAAGCTACCAAGGTATTAGCTAAAATGATATTAGAGTACTAGTTAACGTTGCCACCTTGATGAAAACCGCTGGCTCTCGTTTCAGATCCTAAACTTGGACAGAATAGCTCAGAATTAGGCAAAGCGATGCACATTAATGTTTATCTACACATGAGACACCATAATCCTTCAGGTTCGAGCAGGCTCAACCAACAGAAGCACAGTTGTTATTGCCCCCCAACGCAGACCGAGATGGATTTCATGCCAGGTAGCATTTTGCTCAGTTTTCCGATACGCAGTTATTTATTATTAGCGACAGGCTATTCTAGCTCACTTGTATTGGTGACAGCCTCATGGATTTAGAAACTAGGTTCCAAAAGATAAAACTTGCGATAGTTGTCCGACAAATACATGCGTTTTTCAGGCCAAACGTGTCAAATGAGCCTAAAGGTCTTCTGTATTATCCAGGTAGACGTGGCGCATGCAGTCTTACTATAACCTTCGCAACCACTCAAAGCCTTAAAAAATGTTAGGCACTATGTTCGTAGTGGCTCATATGGCTGGGTATCCTCCGAAAAAATACACCGAGGCCTTCTAACCGATGGCTAATTATAAG